AACATTTACCCTGGGATGTTTTCCATATCTAATTTTTTATTTAATACAGCTCATTTATCAATTAGCATCAGACATTCCTAAAAGGTGTTTAGATAATAGAATCAATTCCAGGTTTAGTGGGAATCCAAGATGGAGGAACCTGCCTAAAGGAACCGCACAACAGTATAGAAATCACACAAGGATTGATGCTTTGCATCTTTCATTAAAAAAATGATAAGAAAAAGGTATTATATTCAGATGTTCATGCATGTTCTGTAGGGGACCAGTGTTTTCACTGCATATGTGCCTAAATTCTCAAACTAAGTGGAGATGCCTCCTAATCACAAGTATTGAGGTAAGGACACCCAAATAAAGAACATTAAGCAATGATAGATTCCAAATTGTTTCAGAATAAAGACCAACATTATCGACCACTTGAGAACCTTGGATCCACTTTCTGAATAAAATGAAGTCAATCAAATAACTTTCAATTTAAATGTCATTGATTCAGAATCATTTTAACTTAATCTGATATCAAACCAAATATGTAGTATGATAGGCGGGAGGCACTACAATCATGCTGTGTAAGAATTCAATTAGTGTACACAACTATTATAAATGTTTCTTTTTTTTACAATATTGTAACCAACTAAGACGAAAGTTTGTCAATTTTTATCATAATTACCTCAAAGTGAAGGCAATAATTTCTGATGATTGACAGTGTAAAAGTATTTGCATCAAACTCATTTCCAATTCGAGGGAACTCAAAATCAGATATCCTCACTCGATTGAATGGTTGCCCAATTCAGATGCTGCTAAAAAATACTGAACTATAAGAATTACGCCTGTAATTCTGTAAAAGATTAAAGCAAGTTATGAAGTACGATTAACACTCGCTCCAAGTAACAGGAAACTGAACCATTTCAATGTAGATACGGTAAAATGTTTCAAGATCAAGACTGGATGCTAGGAAAGTTTAACTAGTGCATGGTAGTTATATGCCCTGACAAAAAAAAAGGAACTGCTGTTGACAGAAAAAGATGGAAATACTGAAACAAAGGGAAGTTTCACCACCCTTTCCACACAAGTCTCAACTGGAAAGTTGACCACATATCCTCTCTCTCTCTCTAGTCTTAGACCATGTTGATCAGTTAATGGGATGCCGGACGAGTGACCCTTGGCCTCACAGGAGTCTTTGAAGGACTTACCCTACAGAACAAGGAAAAAAATCAATATGGCTTAAATAATTTTAGTTGAAACTTGCATAACAGAAACTATGCATCGGGAAAGGAAAAAAACCTTATAGGCTGAGTTCCCAAGAGCATCCCACTACAGTTTAGTGCAATAATGGCACTTTCAGCCTGCTCAGTAAGAAAAAAGTGCCAGTCAACAAAATCTTCCGCTTGTGCAAGATAACACAATTCCTTACAATGAAAGAAGAACACTAAAGAAATCATTAAATCTTTGTAGAGTTTATGTAAATGTTCTTGTGACAAGTTTTACAAAACACAAGAGAAAATTTTGATGATTCCATAGCTCACCAATATCTTCATCCATTTAAGAAAATAGAAATTTTAATTCATACATCCTGGTACTAAGGAAAATCATTATGATCTGTAAATTGCTCTTGATGGGTTAACAATTATGCTTCTAGAAGACAAAGAACAGGTCAAGAGATCAATGAAATCTAACTCATCCATAACCCAATTTAGGTATCTAGAACAATACACAATAAATTGCTAGGTAAAAGCTTAATTCTTAGCAATAGCTGATTGTTTTAAAAGAGACAAACTCCTCTCTTAAAAATACATATCATAAACAGAACAATGAAAGTTCAGTAGATTCATGACCATAATGCTGGCTGAATATAAACTACCCATTTAACACTTCATATAACAGCAACAAAAGCCTTATCACACTAGAGATATGGTTGGCTACATGGATATAAACTACCCCTTTAGCGGTGTAGGGGCAAGTGAGAGAATGATTGTCAAATAAGGGACTCAGTAAATGTCAATATATAAAATAATAATACAGATATACTTTTGAGAGAAATTTAACACAAAAACTAGTGCGTATAACAATATAATAACAACAAAGGTCTTCTCCCACAAGGAAGGTCAGTTACATGGATATTATCACAGTAGGTAAATTTTAACATCTTGGGCTCAACTAGACCAATTCTCAACTATATATTCTACACCATGAAATCTCTCTTAACAGAATCCTTCAAATTCTGGTGCATGGCATGAAAGAATAGTGGAAGACAACGGAGCCCAAAATGAATAGAGAATATTATGAAATAAAAACTACTGAATCGTTACAGTTGACATGAATAACAGATCAATTAGAAGCATACAGAATCCTAAAATAGTCAACATGGGTTAAAATTAGTTTAGTTGTTTGTGATGCAATTATTGCTATCATAAACTATGAAAGTGTAGCAGGCACTGAATGTGGCATAGTCTAGACTTACCATTGCAAATTCCACAAAAGCAATTCGAGTTGAATGCACATGATCCCCCAAAAGCCTCAGGCGCGTAACCTGTAAAATAGAATGGCAAAGTCAATCAACTCTTCTAACATAAATAAGTTCCAACATATATAGCATGAACCAATTATGTTTTGGTCTAACCTCACCACAAGCTGATTCAAAAAAATTCTTCACTTCAGCTTGTGAAACCTGCGCTCATTTGAGAAAAATAAATAATGCATAAATAGTTTTAACTCCAATATCCATGTATACATATCATAGATGGGCATATTTTATAATTATCCTGATAAACTTGTTAAAAGCAGTTAATAAGGTCGAAGTGTGTTTTGATTACCACTCTGAATCTTTCTAACCAACTGGATGGTGAATTGTTCCTAAATTAAAATAGTTTTACTTTTAAACAAAAACATCAGTATTTTCCCAAAAAGTAATAAGATACCTTCTTATCAATATTTGTACAATAGACAGTTCGGGCACACATTTCGCGTTCATCATCTGACTGCATGTTCCAGAAGAAAGAGAAATTTAATAGACCAAAGATTTTGAACCAACACTTACATCTCAATGTAGCACATGCACAACAAAACCATAATTATCAATAAATACAATCTGTTTCTAATTTTAAGAAAGCTTTCATTGAAAAGAGAAATATAAAATATACAAGGGGGACAAAGAGATAAGAGAACTCATGAAATGGCAAATCAATTTATTTCAACAATGCAGAAATGAGGTGTTCTAACTATGTCTAAATCAGCTTTCTTATCACAACAAAAGGGCAAAGCTACATCTAAACAAGAATTTTCAAGTCCAACTATGTCCATGAATATAAAGCATCAGAGAGTTTCTGTACCCTAGGGAGGAATGTAGGATTCACAGGAAGAATGGCAGTTTTTGAAGGAAGAACCCTCACTGGATAGTATCCAAGTACAGTACCACCAAGGTTTAAAGCTGTTCTAGCACCATCTGTAGACACAAATTCCATGCAAATGCTTGATATGGTTGAAAATACAAGTCTTTGTATTTTCCATAAGGACAATTTAAAGAACTAAGATTTACAGTAGAAGACTTACACTCATCTGCAAACTCAACAAAAGCAAAACGAAGAACTGAATGTGGGTCACCGCAAATTCGGCAATCAATTACCTTCAATACAAATCATCCAATAAAACATCTTGATTGCATAAGTAGGGTAATAGTTATAATAAAAGATGTATCTTTTAAATTTAAATCCTAGATTCAGAAAAAGAGATATTACTGTTCTACAACACATCGTATATCAGATAGAGAAGTCAGGAAGCACAATCAAATTTCTAAAAAACTCTGCTCTGTGACTACTACTAGTAGTGAAGATCTTGATGTCAAACAAGAAGGGCCATCTAAAATTAAAAATTAGCGTGTTATATGCCAGTCAATAAACAAGAAAGATGGAACCCATTTCAGAGGAAACAATAGTTAAATAATTACAACAGCAACCAAGGGTGGGGTCAAACATAATCTATCCTGGTTAGCATCATCGAATGGCCAACCTCAAATAAACAATGATGCCATAGCGCATGGCAGGATGGAAGCTATGCTGAAGACAATGGAAAAAAATTGTACTTTATACACCCATAAATGCTCAAAAAATGTTTAAAGGCATGTCATCCTAGCAATTTAATTATCAAAACTCCAAGTCTAAAAGAAATTATCATTTAAGTCATAATTACAGAGTCATTAACAATGGAAAGAGACTAATTTTGAGACTGAGGTTCTCTGTTGGTCTCAAGAAACAGAGCAGAACATCAGCAGAAAATTGGTCTCAAGAAGCTGCAGCAAAAAACAAAGGCTTGACCATGAGCATGAACTATGCCTGGGTCAAGAAGGAAAAAAACTCAGCAGAGGTTAAACATGTTCCAGAAAACATATTAGGACAGCTGAAAATTGTTTTGGCCTACTAAGGAGAGGATTTCCCAGAAAATGCATCAATTTCAAGAGATGGATAGTGGAAAGGAACAGAGCAGCAAAATATAATGGGTCACTCTTCAAAGGAGGGAGACATGGATAAGTACTCTGCCATGGATCAACAAAACCATTGGGCTCCATCAACGACCAATTTTTTCTCCACCCCACCTCTACCTAATTTAATAACACTGTAATCTGTGTGCCGGAATTCTTTATTTGACACTAAAGATAAATATATGAACACAAACTCAAAAGGAATCATGGTCAGACTTAGAAGGTCAATGAAAGTGATAAAAATTAAGATTCCTTCAGATAAACGGATTAACAACTTCCTTTTTGTTAAGGATTTGATATTTTCAGTGAGTGTATATATGTAACATTAACAAAAGATTATTTCTCCAAAACAAAAATATTTCTAGATAATAATTTGCCTGATGAAATATGTCCAAAACAAGCCAGCGGCTTTTTTTTTAAAAGGTAAAAACTTCATACCAGTTCTGTGGTCTTTTATATCAGGTCCAAACTAATTTAATGTGTTTAAATGGAAAAAATATAGCAATAACAACAACCAAAGCCTCAAAACCAACATAATCGTACTCAAGAATGAGTGTAACCGTAAATTGAAACAAAAGGGAAAGAAGTGCTCTACTAGCTGACTGAAAAAATGACAGCAAAAATCATGTATAAACGGAGTCAAGAGTTTATTCAAGTAACAGGTATGATCCATGTCGCATTAAGAGGTGAAGTGCAGCCAACTGGGTGAAAAGTAGACAGATAAAATTTCAGAAAAGAAAGTAGCCAAACAGGGACGTGCTGGTCATGCTCATCATATTGAACAATAGTAGGGAAGAGAAATTCCAGAAACCTAGGCACAGAGTTTACTATAAATGAAAGTAAAGCTATGTGATAATCATACAAAAGATATTGGGGACAAATGACAATCACAACACAGAACTTCAAACAAAGTTAAAATACTGCAATGTAATATTTTCATTTAATTGTAAACTAAAAAGAAAGACTAATCAAGCTATGAACAAGGCTCATAACTTACTTGTCCACAACTGCTGAATAATGCTGCAAGCCTCTCCTCAGTAACCTAGACCAAGACAAAAGATTCTTAAAATAATTCTGTTTACCATGATTGGAACAGTAGACTAAACAAACTAGAACAACAAAAGCCCTATGCCACTAGGTGATCAGCTAAATGGATTACAATTAACACAATGCCATTTCACTTGGTTAAAGGACACACATCAATGAGTTCTAATCCCAAATAAAGGAGGAGGGTTGTGATAAAGTAAAACTCGTTGATATATGGAAACACTAAACAAACAAAATCAAGATTTCATGCCATTCTCAATTCACTTACATGCTGATCAATATCAGAAACATAAACTGTTCTTCTAATGCTATCTTCTCTTTGAGCCTTTAGTGATCTTCCACTCACCCTCCTTCTTCCTTGGTTAAAACTATTTCTTCTCTGCAAGATAACGAAAGGGGTAAATTTTCAGTAACACAATTGTCAGAAAGATTAGTTTGCTCAAAAAATCTGTAATGTTCACATCAAAATATGCTATAGGACAATCATAATGTGAAGCACGTCATAATCAATTTGGAGTTAACCATACAACAAGACAGATAACAGACAAGACAAAAGTTGTACGTAGCAACACATATCTGAAAGACAATCTACTTATCATGTAAATTGAAGAATAAAAACACAATTTTTTTCCGTAGAAACAAAATGAGCAAGAAAGGCTGTGTTGTGATCACTGATACTACAGAAAGTTGCAAGAAAATGACGCCAGAATTATAGTTGTCAGCCATAACATAAAATCAACACTATGATTCTCACAAAATATGCTAATATATACAGAAAAACCACATTTTTCATTAGCATAGAACACGTGTAACTAAAATCAAATAGTTGAGACCCAATTGGATTCATCCCAGTTAAGAATTTATAGCAGCAACAAAATTGTCACTTTGCTAAATACTTGGATTCTCAGTTTTCAATCAGTATTGACATTCTGCCATTGCGCCCTTTTTTCTAGGTGGTGTAGTTGGAACATTCCATCATGGTTTCTTTAATTTTTGTTTTCTGGATCATCACCTAGTGCTAGTAGGTTCTCCTTGCGTCATTTACTAAATTGATGAAAATTCTGTCTTTACCCGGGCATGAAAGTTTTAACAATGTAACAAATTCTCATATAAATAAAATTCATGGCATTATTTCACAAAAACCAGGACTGAAATGAGAGATCAAAGGCAGAACAATCCTACCCTTCGATTGTTTGCGAAATTCTCATTAGCAGAAGGCTTAGAGTTGACCAGAAAGTGGGTTGGTGAGAGCTGATTAAAGCCCTGAAGACGATGATCATGATTGGGAGAATATGATGAAGGAAAAAACTCCTTCGCCGAAGGATTCAACTTTGTGAACATGTCAACCAGCTTCTGGACACTGAATTCAGATTCAGCCTTAGGTTTTGAATCCATTTTGTTGGCATCAGCGGGAATCTCAGCAACCGCAGCCATGGAAATCAAAGTCACCAACCCCACAAAACCCTTCAGCAATTTGCAACACTACACTCCTAAAGATGGTATTTTTAGACCGGAAATGGAAGAGAAACACAAGGAATCGATGAGATTCCCTACTTCTTCACACAACCCCGAAGGAAAGAAAAAAAGAGAGGAAAAAATGCAGAATTTGCAGAAGCAAAAATATGATCAGTTATTTTTTAGAGTATTATTTAAGAAAATTGGAAATGAACGAAAACCCATTTGATCAATACTCGAAAATTGCTTAAAAAACAATGAAGAAAAAATGCAAACAAGGAGAATTAGGGTTTAGAAACGAATCATCACACACAGCAAAGGAGAGAGAGAGAGTAGAGGTGGTGTGTGGAATAGCACAGGCTTTGGCTTTAGCTACCACTGTCTTGGCCTTTCCTTGTGTTGTGTGGGTTTTTTATTTTTTCTTTTTCTTTCTAATTTTTAAAATTCAAAATTTTTAGTTTAGTTATTAAAATTAATATTAGTATATTAATAGTATAAACTTTTTCTTATAGTAATTGATTGTTGTAGATGGTAATATTCTTAAATGTTTTAATAATCATTGCAAAAAAAAATAGTATACTTTTGATTAACCCCTGAGGTGTTATCAATAAAAAAAATACTTTAATCAAATATTAAAATTAAATTATTAGCATATTATATATATATATATATATATATATATATATATGTGATAATTCACCTATAAATTTCTAAAAATGTGTAATTACAAACAATTTTTTATCAAAAAAATAATGTTAATATCCACAAAATGAAAACTTATTTATTTATTTAAAATATTGTTTTAATAATACATAATTAAAATTCTCTGTTGATTATGTTATTTTTACTATCTAAAAAAATAAAAGTTAAATATATTTTTAGTTTTTTAATTTTTTTAATAAAAGTTAAAATTAATCGAAATTTTATATCAATTTAATTTTTATTTTTAGAAGTGTGTACTTTTAATTTTTTTAATTAAATTTTTAAGTTTAAAATATGAAATAATTTTAATAAAATTTAATTAAAAAATTAAATTTATATATTTTTAAAACTAAGAGGCTAAATTAGATCAAGTTTTTGAAGAAAAAATATTTTTAATTTTTACTAAAATTTAAGAGATAAAAAAAATGTAATCCACTTATATAACTATGAATTTTAAGTATATAATTGAATTAGATATTTTTTGAGAAAACGTTTGGTTACTATTGATAATAATCTTATTTTTAAAGACGGGTGATTTTATCAAGAGAAATATTCGATTCTTACAAAAAAAAATTACTATTTACAAAAATATTTAATTAGATTTTTAATTGGTTAATAACGGAAATAATTTTTGTGCTAATTCAACTATTTGTAAATTAATAATAATATACTTTTTATTTCATGCACTTTTTTGTCATTATATAAAATGTCAAACTAACCAAATTGAGCACTTATAAGTTAAAAGTATTATTCTCCTTAAATTTGTTTTACAAACTCAAATGTAGAACTTTCTCTTAAACAAATTGAGTTTGATTCCACTCAAATAATGCATAGTAAAATTTTAAATATTTCCTTATATGTCTTAACATTTTTATTAATTCATTTTATAAAAATTATTGTACTAAATAAAAATATATGTATGGAAATCTAAAATAAAAAATAAAAAATACCATGATTCAAATAATAATAATAATAATCAACACAGATTTTTTAAAATTCATATTACTATTTATTTGTTATTTTGTATAATTTTCAACAAAATTTAAGGGTAGAGGAAAAAAAAGTAAAAATAGTTATATTAAAATATACAGTATGAAATAATATGCATATATAATTTTACTTTCTATAAAAATATTATATAAAAATCCTTAGGCAATGTGTGGGGAGAAAGAAATAATATTACTACTATGTATTTTAATCCATTAATTAAAGAGAGAAGGTGAGTTCAAGTGTATCTAATTTCTAATTTTTTTTCTTATTTTACTAATAATTGGATATATTATTCCTAACAACATTATTACCTAACTAAGATTCTCAAATTCATT